AGCTGTAGTGCAAGCTGTAGTGCAAGCTGTAGTGCAAGCTGTAGTGCATGCGGTATGGAGCTGCTCCACCTCCAGCTTGTCCAGCCCCAGCTCCAGCTCCAGCTCCAGCTCCAGCTCCAGCTCCAGCTCCAGCTCCAGCTTGTCCAGCTCCAGCTCCAGCTTCTCCAGCTCCAGCTCCAGCTCCAGCTTGCTCCAGCTCCATCACTTTGTCCAGCTCCATCTTGTCCAGCTCCATCTTGTCCAGCTCCATCTTGTCCAGCTCCATCTTGTCCAGCTCAAGCTTCTCCAGCTCCAGCTTCTCCAGCCCCAGCTCCAGCTCTGAGCTGGATACTGATTACAGTATTGCTTTTGCTGATACTAGTGATGCTGATATCTCTATGCTGATATCTATTACTACAACTGTGTGAAAAATTGAAATAGTTTGAGAAAAAGAAATACTAGTACTTTTGCAAAAGTAGATCTAGTACTGAAATTACAACAACTAGTACTAGTATTACTTTTTCTGCTACTACTTCTGTTTTTCATATAGTAGTATAGAAGTAATACTACAACTGTATGCAAAATTGCAATAGTGTGAGAAAATGAAATACTAGTAGTTTAGCAGATGTAGATCTAGTACTGAAACTACAACAACTACTATTATTACATTTTCTGCTACTACTTCTGTTTTTCATATAGTAGTATAGAAGTAATACTACAACTGTATACAAAATTGCAATAGTGTGAGAAAATGAAATACTTGTAGTTTAGCAGTAGTATATCTAGTACTGAAATTACAACAACTACTATTATTACATTTTCTGCTACTATTTCTGTTTTTCATATAGTAATAGTACTACTATAGTAGTACTAATTATACTACTGTTTTTCATATTGGTAATACTACTGATAGTGATACTGGCTGATACTGATGAGCTTTGGCTCAGGCTTTAGCTCCAACTTTGGCTCCAACTTTGGCTCMAACTTTGGCTCCTGCTTTATTATTATAGCTCTGCTAGAACCTACCTCTAGTAGATATAGCTCTAGATATAGATCTAGCTCTAGATTCAGTTGTATTACTACTATATGAAAAACAGAATTAGTAGCAGAAAAGGTAGTACTAGTAGTTGTTGTAATTTAAGTACCAGATGTACTACTGCTTTACTACTACTACTTCATCTTCTCATACTATTTCTATTTTTCACAAAGTTGTACTTTAATCTATATTAGCTCAATATATATGTACTAGTAGTAGTATGATTAGTACTAATACTATTTTTCACAAAGTGCTAGCTGTAGTGCTACTAGGTGTAGATAGTGCAAGCTGTAGTGCTGCTTCTGTACTGTAGCAACAGGAGTAGATCAGAAGCATAACTTGGGGGCAAGCACCTCCAAAGAATGGATGCATTCTAAAGAGGCATGCACCTGGCCAAATGTAATGATCTCAATAGGATTACTGCAGCTTCAGTACTGTGGCAACAGTAGATCAGTGCAACTACACCAACCAATACACCAACCAATAAACAAGGCACCAATACACAAGCACCACACTGATAAACAAGCATGTCACTGATAAAAACTCACTAATAAACACTCACAAATACTACACACTCACTGATAAACACTCAGTGATAAACAAGCACCTCACCAATAAACACTCACTGATACACAGTCACCGATCATTCACATTCACCAATCCACACTCATAGAGGAACACTCACTGACACACACTCACTGATACACACTCA